ATAGCATAAAGGTTTACTGGCTGCCATGGGCTCCCAATTCTTGGGAGTTTTCAGTCGAAACACATCAGAAAAGTGACTGAACACCAGTGCATTTAAATAGGTGAACACACGGCTCACCAATCTCTAGGATGAAAATAAAAAGTATTATGACATTTTATTATCCAGTCTTAATCAGAACTCAGTGCTAAGCAAGCTGGTTCAGTTACCAAGCAAAAATTATTTTTCAGGCAGGTGGTCTCTGTAATTAAGCTGGCCTGGATTTTACAAACTCACCTTTCCCTTTATTCTGCAGCAATCAAACAGCATTTACTCATAGTTAAAAGCCCACCTGACCTAGTGAATGTATGACAGTCTTTTTAAGCAAGTCACATCATTGCTACTTCTTCAGCCTGTAACCTTAGCATACTCTCTTAAGGCAATAGCAACCATTTCCAAGAAAAGTTAACCTTTAACTGTAAAAAAGTGGGGGAAAAAAAGCAGTATTCTTTCCACAAAACAAACAAGACTGCCAAGAGACTTTTTTAGACGGCAGGAAATCCGGTTCAAAGGGAACATCCTAGTGGTGGAAACACAGTATATGATAATTTTAGCTCTTTGCATATTGCTGCTGCTTGTAAAAACAAATTACTCCACAGTAGAAGCATTTTGGATGCTTCTCAGAGAAACAATAACATGCTAATAAACAGTCCTTTAGAAAAACAACAGAGGATACCTCAGACTTGCTCCAAAGCATCATCTTCAGCTCCAGTAACATTTTCTTCCACTGGCACGTTTCTTCCTATTTCACTATGAAGCCAGAAGGTACATCCCTTCCAAGGCTTATGCAAAGCTGAAGCAACAGCCAGCCATGTCCTAAGCAAAAGAATATATAATTTAGTGCACTTCCCGTGGCAATACACAAGTAGTTTTGATATTATCTTGCAGGTAACAGTAGATCCATACACATAACAGAATGTTTTCGACCAGAGACTGGCTGGTATTGCAGTCTGGTGTAGCTCCCTTGGTATTTTGTCAGTTACTCTCCAACCACCAAATTCATGCTTCTTCAGACTCTTACTAGCAATTTCAGGAGTCTTCCAGAGTAAGGAAGGTTACCTTCACAAAGCTTCACCACAACACAATACCAAAATGGTTGGTTTTCCCAGGCATGCTGTGCTTTCTTTCAGCTTTGCAGGGCAGGGACACATGACAATGTAAAAGCCAGCTGGTATATTGAACTGGGAAGCAGGAACTGTTTGCATGTGTTTACCATTACCACAGCCTGAGGATACTGAAAATAGCTGCTACCTCTTCCTCACAAGGACTATCTCTTGGTAATACATATAAATATAAAGCAATAATAATTACATGATGCAGACAGCTCCCTATCTTAAAAGGACCCAACTTCTACTGGATTACTATAACTGTGATCCAGTGCCGTTTCAGTCATCTGACTTAAGATTCAGAAATTGGAACTAAAGATGCTAAGGTCCAGGTAGTTAGCCACACAGTTGCACAGAACATCCACTAAGGTGTGGGGTTGATTGGTTTGTTTGGTTTGGGTTTTTTTGTTGTTGGTTGATTGGTTGTTTTTAACATGTATAGCAAGAAACCAAATTGGAATGCTGGGGAATTACATTATTTGCATTTTTATCAAAAGAATTCACAAAGATACAGTTCATAGCTACAACTTTCAGATTCCAGCTTATCTATCACACTGGAGAAAGATTGTGTTCCAAATAACAAATTCCAAATAACAGTTTCTGCTGGTTTTGGCTGGGATTGAGTTAATTTTCTTCATAGCAGCTGGTACGGGGCTCTGTTTCAGAGTTGTGGTGGGAACAGTGCTGGTAACACAGGGATGTTTTAGTTATTGCTGAGCAGCGCTTACACAGTGTCAAGGCCTCTTCTGCTTCTCACCCCACCAGCAAGGTGGCTGGGGTGCACAAGAAGCTGGGAGGGGACATAGCTGGGACACAGCTTTTGCTTTACCTATTAAACTGTCTTTATCTCAACCCATGAGTTTTCTCACTTCTACTGTTGTAACTCTCTCCCCCATCCCGATGCAGGGGCAGTGAGCAAGTAGCTGTGTGGGGCTGAGTTGCTGGTTGGGGTTAAACCATGACCCAGTCTGGCACAAACTAACAATTTTGCAGTTGCTAAACACCAATTAAATTGAAAGCCCACAATGTGATTTTTTTACAAAGGACACAACTTCCATTCTACCAGTAGCAAATCTAGTAGAAGGATCCAAAAGGAGACATCTTAGAATTATTTACTTGCATCTAACCTGCTGCTCAGAAAAAGGCTGACTGCTGATACGGTGAAGGAGAATGCACCTTGGAAACTACAAAACAAAAGCTCAAAACAAACAGAAGTGGCATTTCAGTTTGGGTACAACTCCTAAAGAAGGTCAAACTTGAGATTAACATTCTCCTTTTGTGTCTTCACACAGGAGAAAAATCTAAAGATCCACTTCAATCTTCTGAGCATCCATCTACTAAAAAAGAGCTGTTTAACACGTAATTGCAGAAAATTGTTTTGTAATATGGTAACAAGTAATAGTTGATGGGAAGTAATTCAGTTAAACAAGCGATTTAAACAGCATAAACGAGCTATCTGTTGGGTTTTATTTGTTTTGTTGTTTGCTTTTAACAAGGCTGCAGGGAAGTTTCAAGCCAAAATTACGATTCTGTGTGTAAATACATGACTGGAAGGACTGCTGACAACAGAACCAGGCTCTTTTCAGGGGTGTGCACTGAGGCAATGGGCACAAACCAAATAAACAATTAATTCCATCTGAAAATAAGAAAACAGCTCTGGATGATGATGATATTCAAACCTGACTGGACATGGCCATTGGCAACCTGCTGTTATTGACCCTGCTTTGAGCAAGGGCACTGAAGCAGATGGCCTCCAGAGGTGCATTTCAAGTTCAGCTAAAATGCAAAGAGCTTTGCACTTCTTTCTGGATAGGTGTTAGGCTACATTCTCTCTCTCTGCATACATACACCTCAAAAAAACACCAAAGTCACCCAAATCTAAGCTGGGTGCCAATTCTAAATCAATGCTAAGATCAGCCCAGCTGTATCTGAAAACAGGACTGGAAGGCAGCACTGACCTTGGTGTATTTTTTCCTCATTGGAACTTGCATGTGCAGAAAGCCAAAACTAGGGATTTGGGTTTTCTTAAAAGCAACTCTTTGATTTTATCTCAACAATAAAATCTCCATAACAGTTTCCTTTGGTTCCCACTTCCTTTAAATGTAGCTAGCTAGTTACATAAGACTGCGTGCATAGGAATGTTCTGAACTGACAAAGTTGAACAGAGAAATCAGGTGTAGAATGAGGCATTAAAAATGGGCACTCTGCACTCGACAACTGATCAGCCCAGAGCTGCACGCACCTTATGTGACCTTCTCTACAGCCTCTGTATTTGCCTGCACGCAGGACCACTCTTGGCACCAGCCACGGAAAACAGTGAGCCCATTGTCTGTGTCCTGAAACAGGTGGCATGTTGTGTGAAACCCTTCTCATGCTGCTCAGGTGCGAAGGCTCAGACAAATCACCACATAGATGCTGTGACCACCTGAAGGCTCAGGCAAATCACCACACAGATGCTGTGACCACCTCACTGCTGAACAAAGACGAGGGGAAAAAGTACTGCATCTGTTACAAGACTCCCAATTTTACCCTGAACACATGTAAGACCAAAGACTTGATTATTGTATAGTTTTATGGCTTAATAACTCAAGCTCTACTTTCTCTTAAAACCCAAATACCTACTAAACACAGATACCATCTGCCATCCGCGGAGCCCAGACAAAGGCGAAGCAAGCGCTGGGGGCAGAAAGGGCAGACCAGGCCGGCCCCGCGCTCACGCCGTCAGTGCACACGTCTCGCTCTGCTTCACAGCGCGGCACAGAACCGCGCTGCGCACCACCGAGACCAGGTCCCTCCGCGGACACCCGCGGATACTGCGCGCGGCAGCCTCCCCTCAGCGCGGCGCACAGCAGCGGTCGCTGCAGAACGCGCCTGCGTCACAGAGCAGCCGTTAAGACTCAAAACGCTCGAGGAGCGGCGCGTGCCTAAAGCCCCGCCTTTTCCCCCGCCCCCCTCCCTCCTCCCCCCGCCCCCGCACGCGCGCAGGCGCCATGGCGGGTGGGAGCAGGGAGCACGTAATGGCGGAGTTCAGCGTTAAATGCAGAAAGCGGAATCCGGCTGACTCCCCCCTGTGTGGAGCTGCACGGGATGTCTCATAGCGGCAAAGAGGAAAGGTCAAATAACAGCATCTCCGGAAAGGTTTACCGTTTTTGTCCCTTGGAATTTCACTTATTCATAGTGAAATTACAGTGAAATGTAACTGTAGCGCTGGTCTGGTTGTGGTAGAGTGGGGAAAAATCCTTCACCAGCTGCCAGCAGAATTTCCACCTATCGAGTGCACGCTTCCTCAGCAGCGGGATGTGTGCTGCGGGGTACAGCCACAGTGCTCTGTGGTATGAGTACAGCCGAACACACACCTAGCTTACTTTGCTGTCATGTCGCGGATTTTCCGCTGGTAAAGCAGCCACTGAAAAACATGCTCTTACAAAGAACTGCAAGATTCCAAACCTCAGAACACCAGCTCAACCCTGGCAAAGCGGACCCTGCTGCTCCAGGAGGGGCTGTAATCAGACCGCGCCCGTTGATGAGCCTTATCCTAATCATGGACAGGAAAAGTGAGAATACATCGGGAGCAAACCTGCTTAGGGCATGAACGGGCCCATGGACCGCACCAGGAAATAGCTGCCTTTCCAGGGGGTAACAGACACAAGTGTCTCAGGGGCAGCCTGTCAGGATGCTGCTATCATTTGTGCAAGGCTGCAGCACAGCTTATGCAGCCTTTTTCAACATGGTTATATTTTGTCAGCGGCTAAATTTGAGTGAGGGTTTCCTTAGCGTGTATCCCTTGTTGATACTTGTACTTAATTCTGAACAGGCTCTGGAAGAACAAATGAAATAAGAAAAATAGCATGTCACAAATTCATCTTGAATTACTTTATTTTTCACAATAATAAAAAATAAATTAGTCATAAACAAAAATAGTTAACATTTTTTCATCAAAGAGAAAATGTATACAATATGGAAAGGATGCTGTACAGTTCTGGTTCAGGTGCATTGCCATGGATACATATTCCTGAACGAGTCAGAAAGCAATTTGCCTATATTCTCCCCCTTTAATTCACTCAATGAACTGGCTAATCAGGAAGTTTAGAAAATTGTATTACGGATTTTCAGTATGACATATATACAAAAATATATATGTAATACCTGTGCTATAAAATTCCCTAAAAAAGCTGGGTTAGTAAAATGAAAAAGCTGGACAAAATTTGAATCGTATATGTAAATAAATACGTACTAGGTCCCTTTTAATAAAAAAATCTGCCTATTCTAAATATTTGAAATATTTTGGTGCAGTGGCTTGTTCCATAGACACAGCTCAGAATTACTTATTTCCCATAGACATCTTGTATTTACACATAACAACAAAATAAGTTACAATAAAGTATATCCTTCTGCCAAAATCTATTATGAGGGTCAAGTAGAAAATTTTATACATATTAAAAAAGTTAGGGTTTCTTTTGTCTCCAATCCTTCCCGATCCTCTATGTTAGCTCCTGAGTGACTATGATGGGACTTCAAAAGTCTGTACGTACCCAACCCCTGCGAAGGCCACTGGTCTCGAGAGACCAAACACAGCATGGACAAAACAGTCCAGGGCAAGCAGCAATGACAGCTGTCGCTGGAAAGGCAATGATTGCTCAAAATTAAGCTCCTCTCCTCTCCAGATATAGTGATAGTTATCTATAACCCATTATAGTAAACGGGATACAGAAGATGGGGAACTCACATTCTTCATAACTTCTGGTTGCTAAAAGCAGAGAAGCAGAGCTCAGTTCAGGTCTGGTGTGAGTTCCCTTAAACGGAATTCTCTCCCTTTCACCAGGTCTGAATGTCACCAACAATACTGAGATACTACAATGATTACAAGTTTGCTTGAAAATACACTGAAAATGCTTAGGGGGTGATTTTTCATTTCTGATATAGAAATAATTATTTTACTCCATCTTCTAAATAAACAGCTAAGGTATCCCCTACAAACATATTCTGTAACTTAGGAATAAAGGAAGTTTACTTTCTGTGCTCAAATTTTCATGTTTTGTGTGTTCCAATTACAGACACGCACATTACCTGCATAATACACAGAACAGCTCTTACGAAGACAGAGACACTAAGTGTAAGTCTCAAGAAAACCATGTAGACACCCAGTTTTTCCTGTGTGGAGACAATAATTCTAATTTTTTTATGCAATAAATGTTCATATGAAGAGCCACTACATACTTCAATAGCTGTGCATTCACAGGTTCATTGCACAGAAATGAATTCAGTAGGTACCTTAATAACGTGCATTAAAACTAGCCAGCATGGACACATACACACACAAAAACAACCCCCACAACAGATCACTGGACTGGCAGGAATATAGTTCTTTTAAATAGCTGGGCCTAGTTTTGACACGGATTCTTATCAACTGAATGGCCAGTTCAGTAATTCTGGCAAAATCAAATATTGTTACCCAAAGGACAAAGGGATGGAAGGAAGTGAGATGAGAGGAAGAGGAGAACACTTGTGGGTGTTAAAGGGAGACAAGCTGGGATGAGGATGAAGTAAAGGAAAGTCCTGGAAAGCACATTTACTACTTATGGTGGTATTAACACAAAGAGTGGAAGCAAAGTATTTCCTTCAGGAAGGCATAACCTTCCCTCTTCTAGCCATAAGCTGTTTCCAGCATCTACCTCCTTCAGTGGCACCTTCTAGGACTGACATAAGCAAAGTAAGTAGCAAGGTCCTGGCAGTACTGCTGCTCCTTGTGGTCTTCTGCTCTATGAGTTCCACAGGGCTATACTGACCACTTTCATCAAGTTTGTGAACAAGTAACCTAGCATCCTCTGTGACATACTAGGTTTCTTTCTGTATAAAAGGACCAAACTCTGAACTGCACCACACTATCATAAAACTGGGATTTAACCAACAACATTAAGCACTGCTTTATTCATACAGAAAGTTCTCCATTTGCTGAAGCAGTGGGAAAAAAAAAAAAAAAAAAGATTATGTGTGTAATGAGGAAGATACTAGTTCCCTGCGCAGAGATACTGAGGTAGTCCTGCATCGCGTCACTGGGCATACACTATAGTTGGACTTCCAGGCTAGCAGGCTTCTAAGAACACGTCTCCTGCAGTGCTCTCCCCAGCCTGCTAACACGCTTGTCCCTAATTGAGAGACCTGGGGACTGAAGGTCAGAGACACTAAAGCAGATACTGTCTCAATTGAGGGCTATGTCAGACAAAGGGTCATTCCCACAGGAGCAACCTCTCATGCTTCCACACCATCATCTTCAGTTTTCTCAGATAGTCAGAAGAAGGGAGAACTCCATGAATTCAGTGCTGATAGTAAGAGCTCTCAAACTTGGCAACCAATTCCTATATACAAGCAATTCTGCCTACATATGTTTGGATCTGACATTGTGCAGGAGCTAGCAAACCCTGATGGACCCTTGATAACTTGATAAACAACTGCACCAGCAGTCCTCAATTCCAGATGGAGAGTGCTTTGGAACAGAGCCTGCTCTGGACGGAGCTGATTTTGGCCAGCTGCATGTCTGCAAGACATGAAAGCTGTATGCGTATTTTACCCCTATAAGCAGTTAAACTACTTAGACTCCTTAAATCAACAACATACAGCAGTCTTCCTACACTTACTCTGGTGTTACTGGATTGTGTAAGGTGAAAATCTTTAAGGCAAGGAAGCTTTTTTCCCACCATTCTGTGGGATTTTGATGGTGTTAAAATGTCAGAAAAAGAAATTAAAGCTTTCAAGCTCAAAAGGCTCCATCATCCCTTACTTTTATTGGTTTTATATCTGCTCTATTTACTGCACTCAGTAAGTCCACCTCTGATTTACAATGAAAGTAAAATCAGGCCCTCTGCAGGCATCATCCCAACTTGGTGCACTGCTCTATTAAAATAAACAGTTGCTATAGCAACATTTTCAAAAGTGCACTTTGTGTGATGGTGAAATCTTATGTAGCACTTTGTACGTAATATTGCTACATAAAAGTGCTGAAAAGAAAGATTCATTAGTTCATTTAGCAGGAACAACTACTTTGATTATGCTGACACACGAGAAGAGATGATAAATGATTAAGTTCTGCAACATTCTGCAGTTTCCTTATTCTCTGATGTTTAATTAGGTGGCACAATCTTATTTTTGTTTTATCTGATACATCTGAAAATTGTCCCTTTACTGAAAAGTATAGTTTGTACAGTCATAACTCACTGCATTCAATTCACAAAGCTGTATACGTTAGATGTAATACAGGATTACAGTGATAGGTGCATGTATATATTCTTTGATACTTAGCTCCCATGAACTCTGTTTACAGTGCCTACATGATCATCTTTGTAAAATAACCTAATGGCTAATTTCAGAGCAAAATAACATACTTTATAAAAGACCAGGATGACCTGTTTGTGTTCTGAATTGCTGCCCCACAGCCAAAAGTGTGTGCTAGCAGATTATGTTCTGTGAACTGACTGCAAACCTGATTTTTTCTCTGCCTTTCATTTACCTTGTGATTTTCAGAAAGCCTTTTTATGGGATAGGTATTTCCCTCAAGTTGGTACGATACACTTCCTTGGGACAAAAAAGACAACAGCAAGAATTACATACTGTATGTCAAGATTTGCTGCAACGAGATATCCAGATGAAAATCTGTATTTACAAACACTGGATTCCAGAGTTGTTTATGCTGCACTTTCTCCATATTATTCTTTGGTCAAGAATCTAGGGAATATAAAATGATCACAAACCTGTACGTTATTTTCATGTATAAATCTTTATAATACAAGGGAATATGATTGTGAAAGATTCATGAAATTAAAGGTTTTCTAATTCTAATTTCTGTTTCTAACAGCTTTATATCAATTAGTTACAGTGGAAAACGCCAGATCAAAGGTGTACAGAAACAGACATTATTGGTTTGTAGTCACAAAGAGTAACTATCAACTTTGGGGGAAACGCTTCTTCATTTCACTCAGTCAAACAATAGTAGTTCATCGTGTCCAAAATATATTTTTCACCAGTGACCAAATAAAAAAAATCTAAGGTCTGTCTCCATTCTGTCTTCTACATCCCCTCCACTAAGTCAGAAGAAAAGAATACACAGTGAGGCTCAAACATGGCTCTTCAGCAGCAGCAGGACACTTAATCACTGTTGTATCGTATCACTGGGAGTGACTTAGCGTACATTATTAAAATGGTTTTTGAATTCAGACAATAGGCACCTTAGAAATATATGCACAGCTGGGTTACCACCAATTTACAAGCAATATGCTGTAATAAAAAGCTGAATATGTATAAGTGTTTGGTTTATCCTTCAGCCTTACTTACAGGTTTGAAAGGCCTCTCAGGTAAAGAAAATGTGCAGATAATGTAAAACATAGCACATTCACTTTGCTTTTAGCAAGTCCTAAGGCTGACTACTGTAATTGCAGAATTGAAAAATCACCAATTCAGCTCTAAGTCTGGAGCCATTCTTAAGTAGTAGAAAAGGAGCAACAGGAGTAGATCTGCAGGATGGAACACTGACTAAAAAAAGACGAGTATGTTGTAATAAGTGATCAAAATCTGAAGAATGTCAGTAGCTATGATCTCCTTTTTACAGATATTCAGCTAGTACACTCATACCACATGCCTGGTACCAAAAGTAACAGACTACTATAAAGCACAGAGGCCTGCATCCTTTGGTGGTTGTTTCAGAAACTGGTGACATATCCAGACTAGGTCTGGACAAAGTACTTTGGTATGATAGTTGTTAAGCAATAGTGCAGAGACAAGACATTAGGCAAGATACCAGTTCACTGAAATAACTGTTCTACAGGAAGAAGACCTTGCCAAAGGAAACAATGACTTTTTTTATAGCAGCAAAGGCTCTTCAATATTCTGGTTAATCTGTCTCAGTGACAGCTGCAGTTGTTAAAGACTTAAAGGGTCTAGTGGCACTCTGGTAGGTAATGTATTTTAAAATCCATACAAAATTAGAAAAGTGTAACTTCAAGAATTTATGAATTAAATATGAAGGCACTTTTTGGCAGTCAAGTGTGTATATGTATTTGCTGCCTAAGGACAGGAACTTACTTAAAAGTACAACTGAGAGAGCTTAACAGTGACTCTACTTTATTATGAATGGACCAAAGTAATTAAAAATATATGTTAGAGTTCTAAGAAACTCATGGTAAATGGATCTTCAAGGGTCTGGTTCTTTGTGAAGTAATTTTGTCATGTGCATTTTTCACTGATTTAGTCACCTAATTTAAGGCAATCCAAAATACGAAGTAAGAGTAAGCACTCAGAAAATAATGCAGCAGCTGTATCCATACTGGTCAAATATCTCCAGTAATTGCCTGTGACTGATCTAGTTTTCATTAATTTCACAATACTAAGGCTGGTATAGTCTTTAAATAATTAGTTATCTGATGAGCAGGTGCAAATAATAGTATCATTAAAAATTAATGCTTTAAAAAGGTTGTGGGTTTAAAACATTTTAAAAAAAGATAATTGCACAATAACTGTAACTGAAAGTGTGTGAACTTTAACCATAGTCTTGATGTACTCAGCAATATAAAACCCATCTCTAAGAAGCTAAAACCTGCTGTAGTCAAACAGTAACACTGTTCAAGCGCCATCTGAAGACCGAGATTGCCGCTTTGAGTAGAAGAGCATTTGTTATCTACGTCCTAGAAACCCAGACTGTCTGTTTGCCACACGTGTACAGGATGCACAACAGGCTGTTTTGTAATAGGTGTAGACACAGAGCCGGGCCTGAACCACCACATTGCAATTGTAGTATTTATCTTTGCAGTTTTCATCTGTGGAGAAAAAGGAAGAGATAAGAAACTAAAAAAAGCAGTGTTAAGAGCAATAAATAACCAACCCGCTATTTTTTACCATGTGAAATCCCTTGCACCTGTATTTAAACATTCATTGTCAGGTTTAAATAGGCTACCAATGCAAATTAGTTAGATTATTCAAGATTTTCTACATTTAATACAAAGATACATAAAACTGTGGAAAAAATGCACCTATCCCTATTTATCCTCTTGTGGGGGTTTGTGTGTGTGTGGCTGGGTTTTGGTATAACTTTTTTTTAAATATCGTTAAATTATTAACTTAAATAATTATCAGCTGAAGACTGTTGTACAATGTGTTCCTATACACTTGCATATTTCTTTCCCTAGTCATCCTTGTTACTGTTAAAATCAAATCTGTATGAGTTGATTGATTAATTCCAAAGCCAAATTATATGTAGGTGTGCATTTACGGTGCATAAAAGAAAATGGCTTAATTGCCCTTACAGAATATACCCCTTACAGAATATACTTTTACAAAATACAGCATATCATACACAGTCCTTTTTCTGTTTTAAAGACTTTGCCAAGAGAAACCTTTGAGAATGCAAGGAAGCTGCATAAAAAGACCCTCTATTTTCAGAGAAGCAGATTTCTCACACTCTCAGCAACTTCAAATGTAAGCCAGTTCCTTACATGTTACAAGAAAAAAGTTTTTAGTTGGAAATTAAAGCCTCCTTTTACACTATAGAAAAGAGCTGTATTCCATGCAAAAAATAAAGCCCTGAACTTGGAAGAAAATATACTTCAACACCTCTGCAAGACTATTAAATATTTTCTCCACTAGGTGGAGTTCCATATTTAAACCAGAAGTTTCTTCTTCCTTACCTATTTCAGGGATACAATCTTGCGTGTTACATGGTTCTTTTTCTTCAGGTTTAAGCTGTGGATCACACTGAGTACTGGCTGTCATATCATCTGACAGACATCGTACCTCTCGAATCCGAAATCCTCCTTCACAGGATTTGGAACACTGAAATACAAAAGCTGAAGTTCATGAAGGCCATATGAGATGTGCAAATGCAGAAAGAAAAAACTGGGAACCTTGAAGCCAGACCCAGGAATCACTGCAGCCTTTTATCAGCTTCACCACTTTTGGTGGCTTGGGTTTGTGGTTTTTTTCCTAACTATGTAGCCCTTAACATACAGGCACAATTTTGTTAAAGGTTAAAAAACATTTATGATCACGGGGGCAACCACCAGACCAGTAAATATGACAGACTCTGAGCAACTGAAAGCATGCTGAATATTCCCTTTCTGAATTACTTAAGCTACTTGCTTGTCTTATTAGCCTTGTTCTGCTCTGGTTATTTATACACGTCTCAAATCTACTTTTTCACAGTGTTCACATTTCTTAGTTTAAGAACTTGCTGATCTGAACTTCACTACTTGACTGTACTGCCCTGCCCTGCCCTTTTGCCTCCGTTTATATGGAATCAGGAATAATCTTACTTGCCTTTTTTCTAGCACTTGATTATTTTTCACTTCTTGCAGCACAACAATTTTACTGAGCATTATGGGTTTATTTGAATTTCTAAAGAAAACATTTCTGCGCTTCTGAAGCCAGAGACTTTTGTACTTGCTTCACTTGGTATTTTTAAAGCCAATTATTACACATTTCTGCCCATACTGAAACAAACCCCTGTTGATTTCAAGAATTCTGCTGATTGAGGTCTTTAAGATTTGGCTCACTGTCTAGTTTGAATTAAATGCTCACAAACTCAATTAAACCTGTGTCATTCATAGTGATTAAAACCTTAATAGGGCCAAACTAGTACAAATGTTTTCTTTCTGGCCTTTTTGGCATAATTATTTAGTTTCCTAACACTGCGAAAACAACCAATCCCTATCATAAAATCAGTTAGTGTACCAAACTAACTAAAATACTCTCAATAATATATTCTTTAATTGCTCTTTCATCTTTAAGTACAACCTTTCTCCACTTTAGAATAAATACTTAGCCTTGTGGTGGCAGTAACTGAATGCTTGCAGGTTTTTATATAATTACTTTTGTTACATGCCTGTATAGAGTATTGTAATTATCCCACATCCAGCAATAAGAACTGCAATTCAGGTCTGTAGAGATCTTAAGCACTTAAAATAGAACCAAGACAGAATTTAGATGGTACATACAAAACACTATACACAAACCCCAGCATTCTTTGTTAGCCAGCCATTTAATCTCCATGACTGAGAGACCATGCCATTTATCTTAGGTCATATGAAAAGTCTGCTGAAGATATAAACTGGACAGTTTCAAAGCCATTCTGCTGGTTTTCACACCATTTTTCATTCTAAGATGACAATGGACTTCCTGATTTCCATTTAAGAGAAAAATGTTGATTTTGGGGGGGGTAAAAATCCAACCAAAGGATTTTATGGCACTTGCAAATGTAGCTGGTCCACTTCCAGGGGAAACTGGATATACATGAGGCTTTACAGTAAGTTTTCTCTCAATGAAGTTCTAAGTAGTACAGTGAGAGTTTACAGCAAAATATGACGGTAAAACTGACTTTAAAAACTGAATATATACCTCATTCTTTTATTAAATGTTCTTTAATTTTAATGAAACTAGAGTTCTGAAAAGAACTTCTTAGTGCACTAGTGTCATTAAGGAGCACATCAACTTTGTAAAACAGGAAGATGCTTGGAAGAAGAGACCAGTAATGAAAAGATAAGTGGCTCCTTGTGCTCAAGGTATTTTTCTGACTTTCCTAAGCTTCACTGGTTGCTAAAGAGCATGCTTTCTTTTTAGTATCCTTCCTGTGCAAGATTAAGGCAATTTCATGATCAACAGTTTTATCCAAATGGCATTCCCTTTTAATATACACGGAAAAAGATGTATCAAACAAAACCAGATTCAGAAAAGCATGACAGACTTACTGTGCTCCATTCTGTATGAAACCACTTAGATCCACATGGTTTGAGGTAGCAGGATTGCTGGCTGGGAGGTTTTTCCAAATATGAACATTCATAGGGGTTCAAAACATCAAAAGTACCTTCAGTTTTCCTAACACAAACGACTTCTCTCTGTTGAGTTCCACTGCCACATTCTGTAGAGCACTGTATCAGAGAAGGAAAAAAGTGGTGGCATTTGTTATTCTACTTACATCCTCCAACTTGTTTCTAAAGTAGTGTGTTTCTCCACATTATTTGTTTCTGAAATAACACACACACACACTTGCATTTTAAATTAATATTGCAACAGGAAAATTCGTAAAATTTTGTTTATTCCCCATTCTTGGGCACATATTTAGACAGTAACATCCAAATCCATTTCCTTATTATATGTTCTTTCCTCAGTAAAATGGACTTAACTGTATCTTTCCTTCCAGCATTGGCATATATATGACTTGAATAGAAAGGGAAAGGGTAAAGTATTCCTTAAGTTTTATCTCTCAGAACCAGAAGAGTAGCCCAGATAAACCTTGGGTTATTATTATTATTTGTACGTAGTACTAACACAGTAGCCAGCAGTGCCAGTTAGGAACCAGGACAAACAAATGCTGAAGGATATAGTAATGACTAAATTCATCAAGTGACTCCTGACTGTAGGTGTGTCAGGTATTACTTGCTTACTTTTTCATTGTTGCAGTGGTTAAAACTGGACTTCTGTGGATCTTTATTCCACATGGTACTACAGACTCAAAACATACTTCTGATTATATTTATGAAGAAGACACAAAACTCTAATTGGAGAAACCTGTAAGTGTAGTTTTCCCTGTAGCTACAAGAAGAAACTGGTATTTATTTTTTTCTAACAGAAAGAGAAGCATGACTTACCTTTTACTTTCTCCAGAAGCACTGTTACTGCTTCTTGCTGAAGCAGGATTAAATGCACTGTGCTGAGGGTTAGAGGGTCAGAAGGCTGAAGCACGGTTTTGCAGCTTTACAAATCCCCACATTCTGTGTGTTTTTTAGAAAATGCCTTGATCTGCCAGCGTGTTCCTTGCATACTTGCAAGTATCTATGTGTTGCAGTGTTGGCTGCACTTCTGAAAAGCAAGCCTGACTCAGGTGGACTCTTATTGCCCATTTAAAGGTTAAATACATAGTACTGGCACCTGTTTTTAGAAGATGCTTTCAGCAACATACTGGTTTCTAAGTTGCATAAAGGACTATGATTTTTAAAAGCTTTTTCTAGCCTAGACTAATCAAATGCTATTGAAAGTGGGGATTTTGTTTATATTTTGATTGGAACTTGTGACCCTTTTACCAGATACCCACAAAAACCTTGAGCTGAGTGAAAAACCTTGAGATGAACAGGCCAAATAAATTCTACAGGAAATAATGTAACTGCACTTCCTTTAACACTGAACATCTCTTTTAATGTTTTAATGTCACTGCTCTCTTTTGATAGTTCCTCCAAAAGACAGTATCTTAACATTCAGCCTTAACTCTAGAGAAGCAGAATATGGAAGGTCATCCACCAATGCTCCCTCCTGGTCTTTTACAGTACCTGTCCTTTTCAGACTGTCCGCTTTCATTTTGGCAGTCAGAAGTCAGGATGTGGCTGGCAGAAGAGATGTTTTCAGATACTTGTTTCAGATAACATACAACGAAGACTTTGCACCCTTGCTATGCATCAAAGAATTCAATCTCATATAAAGAAAGGTAGGTCAGCTCAAAAAAAAGGGGGCTATTGAAAAGGACAGTTTGTTCAGTTCTGGGCCCCTCACTACAAGAAAGACATGGAGGTGCTGGAATAAGTCTTACAGGAACACCTGAGGGCACAGTGGGGGGGGGGGGGGGGGGGTAGCCTGGAGAAGAGAAGACTCAGGAGGGACCCTTACAGCTCTGCCTGAAAGGAGGCTGTAGTGAGGTAGGGGTTGGTCTCTTCTGCCATGTAACAAGCGATAGGACGAGAGGAAATGGCCTTAAACTGCATCAGGGAGGTTTAGACTGGAGATTAGGAAAAATCTCTTCACAGAGAGGGTGCTCAGGCATTAGAACAGGCTGTCCAGGGCAGTGGTGGAGTCACCATCCCTGGAGTGATCAAAAACTGTGCAGATGAGACCCTTAGTGACATGGTTTAGTGGTGGACTTGGCAGTCCTGGGGTAATGTTTGCACTTGATGATCTTAAAGGTCTTTTCCAACCTAGCTGATTCTATGATTCTATGACATAAACTCTCCTATTTGGAACAGAATATGAGGGCTAATATGACCTTACTGAATGCTGTAAGTAAAGTCCCAGATTTTATCATCTTTTATTAGAACTGCAGCTAACTATGTTTTAAATCTGAATTTCTTACTACTCTTATACAAGTAATTATCACTTACACTTGAAAGCATTAGCATGGTAGTATCCCTGTAATCTCTGTCTCAGCTGCACCAGCTTAATTTCCAATTCCTTATTACTTGGAAGGATCCTGGAGCATGAAATGCAGTGAGTTAGCAGCACAGCTGAGAGACTTTTCCCTGACAGCTTCTGAAATGCCTTTGTTCCTGACAGCAGAAATGTTCATTTAGAATGAGAAGGACTATTAGATGTGGATCAAGGGAAGAATTTATCCTGAGAAAAGAGCATCAGGATACTGGCACTAACCAAATCTTGTTCTCTGCCTATTATCATGAATTTCAGTACAACAATACTGAAGGTAACTTTTGGTTTGGCTACTGCTTTTTGTCTTATTTAAATTTTGGAATTTCTCTAGGTTGATCAAAAGATAAGATTAGAGAGACAGACAGACAGACAGACAGATAGTCAGTCCTGCAGGTATGCACAATCACAAAGGCCCTACTTTGAAAAGTGCAAATTGTTTGCTCTAGCATTCACCGGAATATGCTAAGCAGTTTGCTGTTATCTTCCATTTTATAAATACACTGGGTCAGTAGAGAAGAAATAAAAATGAAGATAGAGGAAGAGAAGAACAAAATCTTATTTTCATCAAAGCAAAAACACAGGAGGTGCTGAAAAGTATTGAATATTAACTCAGAAAAAACAGAAAGGAAATACATGAACATTCCAGAGGTGCAGAAATACACACACATCTTCACTGTACAGAAGCATTCGTTAAATTAAGATACCAGCAGAAAACAAACCTGTGTTAAAGCTCACCTGTGTCCAGCCCCCAGCAAACCACTCCACTTTACCAGCACAGGGTCCATTATTACAGGGTGTTGTTTCAGAAGGTCTGTTATTGCCACAGCCTTCCAGAGGCAAACTGCTGACATGGTTTGTCATGCAAACCACTGAACGTGTACGGACTCCATCACCACATTCTGCAGAACACTGGGGAGCAAGAGACAGAACACATTCACTACTGCATCCTCCATGCTGCACAATGAAATGAGAAGCAACAATATGAAAAATTAATTTATGCAAAGTCAGTAATTTCTACTTTTATGTGAGCTATAGCGAATTGTCTTACAGTTTCATGCTTCTGTATACACTACAAATAGGACCTGTCCTTTACAGTCATAAATAAAAGAAACTGAAGGATTAGGAGAAGAAGAAATCAATTTTTTTCAGGTTTTTATTAGCTTTCTTACTTTTCCTTCCTTTTTCCTGTCTGTAAATTCTTTCAGTTTTCATTTTATTCATCTTTTTGCATACTGATTAATAGATATGAGAAGGAATAATTCCAGTAAGCAACTTTTCAGACAGCAGTCGTATTTCAGTTCTATGAGTTTATCCTCTGACCATTCAAGCTGTCACCCAGGTCACCTCTTACAGTTTTTAAAAGGATGAGGCTAAGAAGACTGAGGACTATGACACTGCATAGCGCATTCTGGATCTTTTCCATATAATGAATTTACAGAGTCATAAAAGTAGAAAAATATGACTTTTTTGACAGATGGTTTCAAAAGACTGGGGTAAATCCTCAGCGAGTAACTGTAACTACCACAAATTATTGCACAACCAGTTTCACATATAAGTTGTTAATCATTTTTAGCAGACAAGGTGGCTGTAGAAGTTTGTGTGAATTCAGTGTTGCTTTCTAATGATATGATTTCCTGGTAACTAACAGTCACCATCTAAACTTTCCACTGTTCAATTCTGAAAGCTGTTAATAAATAATGATGTGCAGGTTCTTATGTCACACATTCAGAGATAGTAAGCATGTCATCTGTAAATCATGCAGGATAAATTCCATTTGTCATCCCTCTACTTCAGTCGGAAAGTATCCGATATTCTACAGTTCTAGGCAACATCAAGCTATCAACATTTGAAAAACAGAAACATGCCAGGGAAAAAAATGATTTCGTGTATTAGACTGGGGTTTTGTTGCTTAATTATTTCTTAATATTCCCTTTTTCTTCTAAAATGCATTTGGCATTTCATGTCCAGACCATTAAAATAAAGAAAACCCCATGTGCAGCTTATTGAAAGATATGTATATAATTAAATGCAATCAATTAGAATTATACTGCACACGTAAAGAAAACCACCGATAAGTATGAAGTATATGGGAGAAAAAGATGTATTTGGCTGATATTTCAGATTTGATTTCTAACATACAATGTAATTAGTTAAAATAAACTGTGTATTACTTCTGCAGTGCAAAGTACATTCCTTGTGAATGAATGTAACTCTGTAATGGAACATTTTTTAAGATATTATTGAATAAAAGTAAGAATTATTTCAAGAACTGGTAACAAATCACAGCTTGATTTGACTCCCATCGGTAACAGTGTAAGGGTTCACATTCAGTAGTTCAACTACAGAACAGCAGATGCCATGACAGACCACTCTTAATAATGGGATGAACCAATGCAGTCATTCATCTTCTCAAGATAGAGACCAGTGACTGAATGTACAATTTCTTGCAAACTACTCATTACTCACGCGCACTGAAGAACATTGGTTGTGTGAAACATGTTATCGTGTTATAGTTATCCCACAGATACCATATTGAAAAACATGTCTTCCTATCAGTGAGTTGGTTGCTTTCCCAAGAAGTTCTATGGAATCTCCAGAAAACTAAGAAAGTGACTCAACTTCTGACAAGTCATTTTTTTAACAAACAGAATATGAATCTACCTTCTCAGCAAACCAGATTTGATAGCTAAGGAGGTCTTTTCCAAGGAAACTGGCAAAATCTTGAAAACACAAGAATGATGTAAAAATTGTGCCAGCAGTGAACATTTTCCTCGACGTGTAAACTGAAACTACACTGAACCCATTTCAAACAGCCCACTCATGGATAAAGTGACCATTTAACTGAGCCCCACACAATTGCTACCTTTCAAACCCACTGTACAGAAATAAATTTTGTGGCTGTTCATATTTTATCTTTGGCAAGTAAGTTCAATTACATTATGCACAGAGAACTATGCATGTACTCTGCAAATACTTTTCTTATTTCAAAGTAATTTTCAATTGACAACCTAATTTGCTTTTCTACTTTGCAAACCAGATCTAGGAACAAGTTTAGTCTATAGTCATCCAGAAAATTTCCACAGTCTTATGTTATAAATGATTATGCATGAATTAGGCTTCCATATCCAATAACAAAGGAAATACCAAATGGGAAGGTATAGGGTTGTCCCACCCTCTGCTGCAAGATTTTACTAGAGATTTAACTACCCTCAAAGGATTTGCAAAGCAAACTTAAACCTGACTGTTTCTGCATTAAGTATTTGGGTTTTCATGGGTTTTTTTCTTCCTTTCGGTAAAAATCTCCCATGTGAAAGCCATGATTTCCAAAGCCCAAGGCAGGGAGTAGGGAGCGTTTGGATAATGAATCCTCTCCCTTTGGTTTTTACAGTTGACACACCCCTACGTTCAATCTTGTGCCATTGATTTGTTGTATTAATACAGAATAAATGCTATAACCTAACATTGTGCCACATGAAGAACTTCCGCAAGCTGCAAGTTCTCTATTCTGGTCCTATTATTAAAGATACTCTGTTTCACTGTCTTGTTTTAATTGGCAGAAATTCTTCAGAAACCTTGGTCTGTGGAACACCCTCCCTAGTTTTAAGGAGTCTGCCATTTCTCCTCTTCCTGAGGTCCTTCCCTCAGGAGTTCAGTTTCAGATTTCCATTCCCATTAAAAACTAAAAATAATTAAAAAATCCCAAACCCAACAACTAACGCAGTGCTCTGACAGCTGTCCGAAGGCAAGTTTAGCAGCAGTCCACAAAGGAAGGCTAGTTGCTAGGAATTTGGAAAACTCCACGTGGAAGCCTGAATTTTTGTCACAGCCACAGGGCACGGTAGAAGAAAACCCCTTTAACTGTGCCAGTTCCCTTTCGCTAATGTGCTAGTCCTACTCATTACCTTCAACTGGGGCAGCAGACCACAAGAAAGAGGCAGCAGGAAATCTACCAGAACTCGAGACCTTTCAGGTCCCAGCATCATTGCTAGCCTTAATTAGATTTTTACATAACAATCGAGTTGAGTTCCAGTAAAACATCCCCATTTGTGCAGGATTTCTGTCTGCCACACTTTAACCTTCATCACCTTAATTATCCCTCAGAAGATAAGGATGTTTTCTATGAATCATCCTCCAGAAGTTAAAGTACCACAAAAAATAAAAACAAAGATTTATGTTTGAAATACTTATGAAACTCCTCAGCATTATTTGATCTGCCCTGAGAAAATCCCTTTCAGAAGGGATTTTAGAAGGATTATGTAACCTGTTTTGCCAATAATAAACTAAGAATTTTATTTCAGAAGCTCAATTCTGCTGCAGTTCCAAGACCAGGGCAGGTTTTCAAAGGACATAAAACGATTGATAGCAGTGGGAGAGGGGAAGCAGGGCGAGTCAGAAATGTCCTTATGTATTATTGTCGAAGCACTTACTGGTATCTGGATTTAAATTATTTGCTTTAGAGTGCATCTATGCATACAACAAGCGCTGGATCAGAAGTCAAACCACCCTTGTATTTTGTCGAGCAGATCCATGCTATCCTTCCAAAGTGACAAAGTTTTGAAATATGGTCTTACAATTTTTGGACACTTCAGCTGGATGATGACTCCTCCTACACATGCACTGCTCCTTTCATTATATGTAGTTGGTACTATACTGTGGTTTAAGCCCAGCTGGTAACTCAGAACCACGTAGCCACTCTCTCTTTCTCCCTCTTCTTCCCCCCACCCTGCTCCCGGAGGGATGGGGAAGAGAATCAAAAGAATGTAGCTCCCTCGGGTTGACATAAGAACAGTCCAATAACTAAGGTATAACACGGATCACTACTGCTACCACCAATAATAATAATGATAAGGGAAATAACAAGGGAAGAGAATATAAAACTAAAAGGGAAAAGGAAAATAAAAACCAATAAACACAAGCGATGCACAGTACAATTGCTCAGCACTCACTGACTGATACCCAGACCAACCCGAGCAGTGATCTGGGCCTTCTGGGTAACTCCCCCCCAGTTTCTATACTGGGCATGACATGCTGTGATACTGAATACCTTTTTGGCTAGTTTGGATCAGGCGTCCTGTCTTTGCTTCCTCCCAGCTTTCCATGCCCCTCCTCACTGGCGCAGCATGAGACTGAAAAGTCCTTGATCAGAGTAAACATTTGACCGGTCAAACCCACCCGTACCTGTCAGGTAATGATTTAGGATTGTGAGGAATGAAGCACTAATTTTGAGGAAACGTACTGTAGTTCTCTAATGAAGATATCACAGAAGCTTTGCTGTTACTCTTTCTAATGAAGAGCAAAATCCAGAGCATGTGTTTGATCTGGTTTGATTTTGGTCCCTATGTGCAGCACTTTTTCTTCCTTTCCAAGATTTTATTTTGGCCTCGGAATCTCATTAACATCTAGGAATTGTTTGTATTTTGGCTTCTTTTCTAAGTATGCTCTAAACATAAAATGAGAAACAAATGAACATTGATGGCAATGAGAAATAAACAAAAATGCAAGAGGGGAATCCTCCAGCTAGATTCTAGGCAACACTGGTGAGTCTCCCATGCTGTAAATCAGGGGAATGGAGTTTCCCACTTCTGACCCACAGGAGAAGTAAACTTTCCAGCAATTAGAGCTGTCAAGGAATCAGTCATGTGAAATGTTTGCAAAAATCTCATCTGCTCCCATCAATCCAAGTTTGTCGCTAAGTTCGGTAAGGTTCACCAGCTTCACCCAACTGATTAATGATTGCAGTTTGGTGGAGCTCTGCCATTTTAACACAGTCTGACATCTTATATGAGACAGGAAGCCACCTTTCTACAAACACACGTAAAAATATCACAAAGTTTGTCCAGACTCTCTGTAGGCAAAAGGGGTTAAAGATCATGTAGGACTCAAACCCATGACACTTAATTCTCTTATTTATACTCAAGACAGAGCAATAAATGTAACGACAGGCACATAAAAAGTAAGATGAGTCTCGTTTTACCGCTGAAGACTGTTAACTTGTAATCTCTCCAATTGAAATGAGTAAAAACTTCTGTTTCTCTGAAGACTGAGACTAAGGGATATCAGAATATGGTGTTTAGATATACTTCAAAGACAGAGCTTATACTTTTCAGTAAATAAGAGTTTGTTTCTTAAAGATTAATTGCTTTCATCCCTTCCTTCACACGTTCCACCAGTGTGCAAATGGTAACCACACAACTCATAGGCTTTGCAGTTAAAAGTGCGCATGTAACACATACAATGGACTCTGATACCTGTTTATCAAAATAACTCAAGAACTGTGCTTCTTTAAGAAATGTGGAGGTATTTTTTATTACTTAGGCTTCATTATATGTGTAAAGAATCAGTCTGCACAGAAACTGAACCCAAGAATGTCGATGCCACGGGAAGGAAACAGGCAGGCCATAAAATACATACATATGTGTTGTGGGAAAACAAGATGGGAGAACATGGAGAGAAGGCAGCCAAGTGTTATTTACAGAGTAAAAGCTTTACACACAGCTCACCCTGGGAAGCAGACACAACTCCCACACACAAGTTGCCTGTACTCCACTGGTTTTTAAGCGCATGTACGTTGTATCACAGAAGTTACACCTAAGGAAATTCAATGATTCAATCTTCTAATTGAGAACCACAGAACTATTAATGAAAATGAAGGCAACTAGCATGATTTTGCATCAATTAAAATTTTGCAAAGGTTCAGTAAAATAAGAAAACCAAAAATCTTCCCACAAATCCTAAATTAGATCCTGTCCTTTTCTTAAAACTCAGATCACTTTTCATCTCTTTCTCTCTCTGTTTTAAAAAAAATCCTAGTCAAATTCAGCACCAATATACATCTGTTATGAAATACTGAAATTTAACATCTGTTGGCAGCAAAGACAAGTGTAATTTTTATGTTACTGTGCTTTTTCTTGATGCTTTGCTAATTAACCAAGGCTATATTGTAATGCCCCATGCATCACATAAATCTGGACATGGAAGTTTGATATATCCCTTGCTGAAAGAGAAAGTATGTGCCTAACTGATTTCTGACAGGCCTCTGGAAACCTCTACTTGCTGCATGTGCAACAGTATACATTAAGTGTTTGCAAAATGTGTTTAGAAAAGTACAGGCCAGGCCTTCTCTTATGGCTGTAACCAAGTTTGAACTCAACCATTTCAAAGTTCCAACATCCTCAAAAGTTATGCTAAGTTCTTTTCCCTCTTATTTCTAGCCACGGCTGAAATGTCAAAATACAATGGGAAAGACTGTTCTGTGGTATTTCCAGCTGGGACTTGAAGTAGGCATGTAATAAATCTCACAAAGAAAGTCTGTTCTTGTGAGATTTCCACCACAGTTTTGCAGACTCCAGAGGTTTGAATAAGCTTTCTTTAAGCATCTGAACTTTTGGCTGCTTATCTGAACCATTTGTGGCTGCCCATTGCTGATCTATGCTTACTGCTGGAGTGTGGCTTGGCTTAAAGTACTTTTTAGAGAACTGTTTGGGGAAATCACATGCAGAGTTCACTCACACACCTGGGAATGGCCACTTCCATTCCATGTTAGAATTCTCTTGTTTTTCAACAGATACACATTCCTCTACAAACAGAGACTTCTGATCCTAAAAAAGAAATCAGCCCTTGAAGGGAACAGTAAGAAAGACAACAGCCAAAGGTCTGACTTTGAAAAGCTATTGACTACTCCTATATTCCACTGACTTCCACTAGAATCACTGCCACTAAACATCTCCAAACATCTGAGTTACAAGATATGTCTGAATCTTAGAAGACCCTGCACATTCTAGCCCAAATCTACTTTTTTTTCCTGAAATAAGCTGTTCCTTCCATTTTATTTGTGAATCAAGCTTCAAACCCACTGCTGGCAGAATCATAGAATCATAGAATAGTTAGGGTTGGAAAGGACCTTAAGATCATCTAGTTCCAATGCCCCTGCCATGGGCAGGGACACCTCACTCTAAACCATATCACCCAAGGCCTCGTCCAACCTGGCCTTGAACACTGCCAGGGATGGAGCATTCACAACCTCCTTGGGCAACCCATTCCAGTGCCTCACCACCCTAACAGGAAAGAATTTCCTCCTTATATCCAATCTAAACTTCCCCTGTTTAAGTTTTAACCCATTACCCCTTGTCCTATCACTACAGTCCCTAATGAAGAGTCCCTCCCCAGCATCCCTACAGGCCCCCTTCAGATACTGGAAGGCTGCTATGAGGTCTCCGCGCAGCCTTCTCTTCTCCAGGCTGAACAGCCCCAACTTTCTCAGCCTAAAAGAATAATGCCAAGTACAGTAGCAAGCATTTGGAAGGAATTAATTTGTACACTTATATAAGCTGAGAAGGTAACAAAATCCATTCTTTACTCTCCAGCCCTAAAATGTTTGTGGTAAGAGAAAACCCCAACATTTTTTGTATTACCTGTTTCACTTCTATGCGTCATTTAATACATACAAATAAGCATAGTAACATTTTGCAGTCATAAACTTCAGCTACGAAAACTAGTTTTAATTCTGCAGAGGACAAAATCTCAATCCACGATAATGAAGAAAACATGGATGCACGAGTCTTCGCTGGAATATATGCGCTTTATGTGGTGGAACTTCACTAGCTGACAGTAGCTCAGCCAGCTTTTGTCTTTGAAGGTAGAATGCATTTTTCTCTCTTACTTGCAAATTAGCACTGCACAAAGCACAGCTCTACAAGCTAAGAATAAAATAAAATAAAATAAAATAAAATAAAATAAAATAAAATAAAATAAAATAAAATAAAATAAAATAAAATTCACTGCCATTTCCCCTACAGCAAAACCTTTGCCATTTGCACTAATACCTATACTTCACCTGATAGCTTTGTGTTAACGCTCCACAAGAGCATACAGTGAACGAATAACAACTGGAAAAATAAAATTCAGATGCCAACAACAAAGATCAGTGTGTTTATTTTTTCTGTATAAAATCTATTCAAGTTATCTGGAGGCTGAAAATTCTGCAGGCCTTTAATTGTAGCAAGAGTCTGATCAGCCTTTTAAAAATCATTTGATGTACAAGGTACGTGCTCTAACAGAGAAGTTCCCCCCTCCTTCTCTGCACCTAAAACACGTGGAAAATCTTCCGAGTGTCCAAGCTAAAGCATAACCTATGAGCCAGACATTCCTAGCTTGCAGAGATACTAGCACAAAATAATCTAAATAATGAATCCATGAAGTGAGAAATGTAATCTTACAGTTTTAATGATAAACTGTATTATCTGCCTGCCAAAACAACCAGTCAAAAAAGATGGAGATGCAATGAGGATTTTACAGATGAAATGGATATGCAAGCACCGACAAGAATGACCACAATACTGGGCTTTTCTTAGCCCATTTGTAAGCCTTCTAATGAGAGCATATAAATACCACTTCTGAACAACAACTCTGAGCCCAATCATGAAAAAAAGTGAATCACTGCCGAGTTTGTTGCTTCCATGCAGAGAATCTGACTCATTGGAATTAAAAAAAATACATCCATGTTCACAAAGTACAAAAGCCTGAATCAACCTTGCCTGAGTTTATGAAGTTGTTCCCCTCTTTTCACTGTTATAGGATAATTGTTTTATGGGTTGAACTTAAACCCAGACATCAGGCCTCAAACCTTCATCCCTTAAAAAAACAGCAGGGAAATTTTTAGAGTCTGAATCTTGAGATTCAGGGCTAAGCGAGGCAGAACAATAAATCTCAGCACACTCAATATTTTGGGAATTGCAGACACAGAGCCAATTCCAAATCCAGATGTTTGGCCATGTACCCACACACTTGCCCTTTCTTCTATGCATTCTTTTATCTAATAATGCAAACCCAAGATGCCCTTGGGATTATTATTTTTTTGTTTGCTCTTGCCTGCTTAACCAATCATTGATAAACATGGGAAATAAGATAATTCCTTTTATGGCTGTACAGATGTGTATTTTTTAACTCTGATGCAACTAAGTTGATTTAGAAGGTTTGGCAGCACAAAGATAATAAGAAGCCTTACCCTGTCACTCCACTCTGTAAGGAACCAGCTCTTAGCACAGGGACCCATGTCACAGTTCTCAATATCATTTGGCCGCAGCTTCATGTTACATTCCTCATCATCAACAACGTCTCCAAGGTTGCTGACACATTTCACATCTCGGGTCCTCTGCCCCACTCCACAAGGCACTGAACACTGTAACAAAAGGGAGGTTGCATCAGGGATATGCAAGAACTATAATGGTTTATCAGGGAGCTGGTAACATACAGCTCATTCATTCCTGCTAAGACATCCACAGAAACTGCAGAACTATTCTAGAGTGCCAGGAACAGGAAATAAAAAGACATTAGTAGTTTTAAGTCATATTCGCAGTCTGTAGTAATCTACATATTACTGTGAAGTTACATTTGGAACACATAAAATTAAACCCTATCTTCAACAGGCCATGCTGCACCTTATCAAAATGAACTGCGCGTATTTGAATCGCAGGCTGACATATTCAGCATACTTTTGATTTTAATATAAAAGCAGATATGAAGCAAGGGAAATGCAAAGAAACAGAACTTCTGAATCCCTCTTACAAGCAAAGGCCTCCTTCTCCTGTGCTCTTGTCCTCAACCTCAGAGAATGCTAACAGCTATTGGTACCTCTGCCTCATGATGTGAAGCAAACAGATCATGAAGCAGGACGGGAACATAATTTTCTGCTGTGTACACATGAAAAGTTTTGCTGAATCCTGTAAACATTCTAGAATTAAAGAGGAAATTTGCTGTGAATTTAAAGATTAAAGACTGCAGTACCTGAATACAAGGGTATCTAACAGAGCTACCAGAGGCGGCCTCATTGTTTTTACCTTGCTTTTAAGAAATGCTTAATCATATCTACTATATTTACGTGTCGAAGTTTTTCATGTAAAATACAATATACATTCTCTACAGCAAGACACTTCACAGACTTCATCTTCAGACTGCAACTGTTCACTCTAGAACACCAGCCAAAACACAGACTAGATGTGCGAGGTAATTAAATAGCAAAATGGTAATAAGAACAAATACTCCACTTTATGTTATAAAGGGAGCAATTTGTCCAGAGTTGCTCTTGAAGCCTAGGCTGCCAAGGTGAAAATTACCACAACGCCATTTATTTCTTATCAGATTTAGATGAAAGTTTTTGACATTTATATGTCAGAAAAACGGTAAGCACATCTTAAGCTGGGCTTACTTTTAAGATCACAAACCTGTCTCTCAAGTGAAAATCTGACTGTACTTCAGTAAGCACAAACACAAACCAATGTTCTCTTGAAACCAGTCTGCGAACTCAGATGCTCCTTTCTTTATGATGGAACCTCATGCCAAGAACTTTAATACCAAGACGAAATTAATCGCATAATTTTATTGGAATTATGCTTAAATTCAACCAGCTTCAATTTCTAAAGCATTTCTTTAGCTTGATTCACCATACGCAACAAACCTCTAAGGGTTCTGTAGACTCAAACACTTCTCAAAATGCAACAACACACAAAAGCATCTCCCTTTTCTCATCATCCACATGATCAAAACTTTACTGTCCTTTAACTCCAGATGGATTTTAATTCATCATTAATAATGAATTACCCAACCAACTTATCTTTCTTTACCTTCATATATCTAGGTATTTCTATTTTTTTCATCAGGAATATATCAACATATCAAAGATACTTCATGACTAGAAAGTTAACAATGCCACCATCAGCCTCAGAAACATAGCAGCTCAGGGAGTTAACTCACATAGGCTTTATCATGAGGGAGGACCCACTATAAACCCACACAAAGTCTGCTGCATGGCTCTTTAGCCTACTGGGACTGTGTGGATGGAGAACTGTTACTGCTGCCAGTGGACAACACTGTGACATGCACTCCAGAAAAGCCTGGGAGAATTAGGAGCAAGGAACCACTTCAGTAAAATAGAAACAAAAAAAAAAAAGGTTTAGGTTTAGAGTTTAAGCTGGAATTTTTTATGGCCTATCCACCCACACAATTCAAGCCTATTTTTTTTCATGACTACCTGGGATTTGTTTATCACTACACCTAATATACCAGGATATTTTCTCTTTCACACAATGGCCATGAAAGTATCTAGGCTAGTTGTCAGGTTGGCTAAACCTGTTATGAACAACACAGGAAAATAAAAGCTCAAAACAGTACTGTCCACATTTATCTGAAAGCCTTGCCATAGCCTCAAAGCAACTACAGTAACAGCAGCTACTTACACTTTCCTTAACACACACAGAAGGTTAAATAACTCCTGGAGCTAAAATCTACGTGCTGTGACAAAGAGCAGTAAATTTGCCACCACAGGTAAACCTACCAGGACCCTCTTCATAGCAGCTCTACTTCATATAGTATTAAAAAAAACCCGTTTCTCAGAAGCACTGTGTACTTGTGTATACACACATGCATGTGTTTTGTTCTGTTCAGTCACTCTTTTTCTGCTTCTTTCTGGTTATGAACTGAACTTTTCTGGTCATAATCTAGCAGGGTTTTCTTGATCTAACATTCACTTATTTCCAAGGCTTTTCACATTCCACTTCCCTGTTTTAAACCAAAACAAATTTCATGTTTGATTAGTGATGCCTGGAAAAAGTTCTTTTCTGAGGTTTACACCCTAAATTTATCAGTCACACTTACTGAAGTCCACTCTGTCCTAATCTGCCATTCACTGCAAATCTTCAGCTGGCAAGTGCTGGTTGTCTCTGGTTTCTCCAGGTGATGACAGCGGTACTGCTGAACTGTCAAGGTACGATTGGCATACATTTGCCGGCATAAGATCTGTCGATGCTGCATACCAAGGCCACATGTTTTGCTGCACTCAGACCATTCCCCTATGTCCCAGCTAAAGACAAAAAAGGGAAAAAAATAAAGAGGGTTTTTTCTCAGTACAGATGTCTCTAATACTGATTTTAACAGAACTCAACTGACATGATTCTGATGCTGGTATAGAATCTTATAAAAGAACACTTAAGCCTCTGAATGAACCACCATCCTTTTTGAAGACACTGTTACATACTTGTAACCAATTTACCTGTAATGGTTGATAATAAGCATGCATACAGATTGCACAATTCCTGGTTTCAAGGCATACTACAAACATTAATTAAGCCACTAATAGCTGTTTCTTTTTTTTAAAGACTTTATTATCTAGGATTTCATTCATCAGTAAAACTGAAATAGCAAATGGTAAGCAATGAATAAATACATTTAATTTTAGAGATGAAAAGAATCCCTTAGATATATTCTTCTCATTCCAAGATTTCACTGTATTTATCTAATCATTTTTGTAGAAACATGTAATTTTCCCCTCTCAGTTTTCATTTCAAGCATGAGGACATACACAAGTAAGGAAAGTATCTGAATTGTTCACACATTTTATTTCAGAACTCTTCTGGAGAGTAAGCAAAATCTCTGTATTTTTTAAATAAATATTTACTTATCTTTGAAAGAAAAAGGTGAGAAAAATGCTGCTGAGAGATTATGTCTTCAAGTAAATGGCTTCAGAAATTCCTGTGTATCTAACATGCACTAGGAAATTGCTTGTCAGGCATCTCTAACACCATTAGAAACTTTCATGGGATAAGGAGCGGCCACTTGCTGCTCAGAAGAGAACTGAAAAATGTAACCACAAGAAAGATGGAAAACACAGCTGCTGGCCTGAAATAAAGCAGCTATAACGGCAACTGGGTTTAACCCATTTCTTTTCTTGGTATACCCCCTAGATGAATTGACCTTTTTTTTTTTTCCTGGCTTGTTCCTGTTTAAAAGAAGTTGCCCAGCCAATTCTAAGTGACAGTCTCCTGACGGCAAGTGCCTTTTTGGAAGGAAATCACACATGAGGTGGTTGTATTAGTGTGCTGGAAACAAGGACAATCATTTCAGAGTCCAGTCTTCAAGCTGAAGGACTACTGAATTGCAAGAAAGAGAGGCAATGTTTCTGAGAGACAGCCGTTGTGAGCAGTAGCAGCTTCTTCTCATCTCTAAATATGATACCGTGTTTACCACAGCACACTGATCCAATGTGGAGTGAGATATAGCCTACAGAACCTCTTCTTTAGACAGGTATATGAGGACGCCCTTCACTTGAAAAAAAACCCTGTATTGTGTGCACACCTGAACAATCACACCGGTTTTGAGAAATTACACAGTCACTTGTTGCCAACTTCCCTTTTGCCTTCTCTGAATGCTACTGATCCCTGTGAAGGGGAAGAAGGCCACCAACAACTACACTATATGACACATGTGCATAGCACTTAAGAGTTCAAACTAGTTTTCTACTAAGAACAGCCTCTTTCACATGCAAAACCCCAATGACATTCTCTTATTTCACTTGACGTAAATTGTAATATCTTACAAAGCTGGACATGGGAAGAGGTTGCAGGCTTCCTCTTCTGGAATGGGTTTGGTACTGCTGTCACAGTAACTCTCAGATACCTCCTCGTGAGTGATTCTGTTGACGCAGTGGAAAATTGGGTACTGTGACCCTGAAATGAAGAAGAAAATTAGGTGATGCATTGCAAAAGACTCTGCAGTCATAACAGTAGCACCCAACACTGATGCAGAAAGGAAAACTGTAACTGACCAGGAAATACAGACTGAGATTTTATCCAAAATTTCCAAATGTGAGAGCTGAATACTGTTTATGTTGCAGTATTAAGGGAAGTCGTTTGGTATACAGAAAGTACAGCATAGCGTCGCAGGAAAGGGTGAGAAAACATGCTCCTGTCTGCATGAGATCTTTCTACTGCAGAGTACAAACATCAAGTATTCAAGCAATTCAGGCAAAAAAAATGCAGCCAAGCAGCTACAACACAGACTTGAGAGGAAGAAAAATTTAGCAGTTGTTCTGCTCTGCTTCTGGAGAGACTGAGAGTTACGCGGTGAGCATTATCCACTTTACCTGGTTCTTAAAAAGGCACATAAGAGAATGCTTACAGGATAAACATTACTGTAGACTAAAAAATATTACTACTCTCCATATTTAAGGTTCAGTCTTTAAATAATTTTCATGCTAAAGCAAAAAGACAGACCTCTACTTCTACTAATATTGCAAACTGACTACCAAAAGGGCGACAAAGATCAAGGTGCTAACATGCCAACTTGTATTCGGAAAGTGGAAAGTTGGAGTACATTAACAAGTTTCCTGACACAGGTAATGGAAGAGCCAACCAGGAAAGGTGCTCTGTTAGACCAGATACATAAACATGAGGCAGAAAAAGTCAGCGAAGCGAAAATCAGGGCTAGCTTTGGCTACAGTGACCATAAAATGGTATGCAGAGTTCAGGATTCTAAGAGGAGAGAGCAGGGCAAAAAGCAGGACCACGACCCTGAACTTCAGAAGACCAGACCCAAAGCTCTTCAGAGATCTGCTTGGAAGAATCCTGTGGGATAAAGCCATAGGGTAGGTCCAGGAGTGTTGGCTGATATACAAAGACTACCTTATCCAAGCTCAAGAAAGGTCCATCTAAACAACTAGGAAATCAAGCAAAGGTGGCAGGAGGACTGCATGGATAAGCGAGGAGCTCCTACCCAAACTTAGAAGTACAAGAGATGTAAGCAGGGCAGGTGATCCCAGAGGCATACAGTGATGCTGTCTGACTGTGCAGAGATGGGGTTAGGAAAAAAAAGGCCCACCTGGAGTTGAATCAGGCAACGGATGCAAAAAGCAACTCCATAGCACATAAATGGCAAAAGAAAGATTAAGAAAAAATTACTTCTAGCTCTTTTTAGACAGTAGTACAAAAGTCGGCTGATTGTCTCTCTGTCATGTTTGTACCATGTAAAGTGGCAGCAACCCCTCCTCTTCAATGTGGTAGAGTGGTGGCACAGGAAACCTTTACTGTAATAGGGCTTTCTTTCTCAGAATGATATAAGCACAAGTGGAATATTATCTAACCAGACAAGCAGACACACAGTTTACATTTCTTCCTGCACACTTTCCTGGAATGATTTCCATCTTAGATTAGGGGCATCAGCAATTCATACAGGCTTCTCACACCGAGATCACAAGGAATGTTCATACAGTCTCAATAGTGTCAGGATCCTGCTCCCAAGGTCCAGTTTCATTTGAACATAACTTGATTAGATCATACATACATTCTCTAAGTAATAGGAAGAGAGATGCTAATTTTTGACAGTTGTCTTGATAAATTTTATGGAGTACATTTAAGCTGTATAGGAGGCTGAAAGACATCCTCTGAATTCTCTTCTGCAATTTTGCTAGTGTCATTTTGACTCAGATTTCATTAATATCACTGCCAATAGCTGAAAAAAGGTCAAGAACTATGTTCAAATGTCTATCAATCAGGTCAACATAAATACAACCAAGAGTTCTCTGATGTAAAGAAAGAATACATTTACCCATATGCATTCCTGCAACTGCATCACAAATTATCTGATTTGGATACTAAAATTCACCCCATAAATGATAATCTAGAGACTCAGCAGGCATTGTCACTGATTGCTGCTAAACAATAACCAGGTGCAATTAAGGATTATGCCCATACGACTTGTATTTAGGACTTACAGTGTATTTAAATGCCAATCAAAATCATTCTGGATTACATTCCCTCCTTTTCTCCATAAAGGGCTGAGTTCAAAAAGTCTTCTGACTTTTAGGGGCTGATTTTAGCTCTAATACTTTTGCAGTGATTTCTCCAGGGCAAAAAGTTTTCTCCGTATACTGGAAAGTGATTTCGCCTGGTACCAATATTGCTGGATTTTTGTAGCTTTATCTGTAGCTACAGCATGGACACTCATCTGGCCTTGGACCAAATGCACAGCATCCTCTCCAGCTAATTAGGAAGCAAATGTTCTGAATGTATATGAACAGGTGACAGCCACCTGAGTTCCCTCACTGGTATGCCTTTATTCCAAAGTTTGCAATTTTTTAGGTACAGTGATGGGTGGCTACGTATAGTACAAAAGGTTTCACTTATACTATCACAAAAAACTATTCTTTCAAACAACTGCTTGTGCTATGCATTACTGAATCCATGGTCATTGCAAATGTCTTAGGGAAAAAGATTAATCTGACAAGCTCAAACTACCGTATCCATCACATCCCAAAAGCTCACTAATTATCAGTCCCTTCCTGTCCCTCTTTTTTCCCACTTACACCCTATGAAAACTCAGTTTTCTGAAGTCATATTATTGTTGTTCCAGCAACATCAAAGAGGCAAAGACACGTCTGATAAAATCCCTGTGAAACCTTCCCATAAAGATCAGAAACTCTTGACAAAAAAGCAAAAAGCACTGAGTCTGTATTTGACAAAGCTGGAGAGGACAAATGGAAGGATAAAGAATGTCAAAGAATGTTCAGGAAAGCAGCTGTGTATCAAGGGTGTGAGAGAACAGCTTGCCATAAAATCCTGAAATACTTCCATTCAGAGGCAAATGCCATATATTCCCTTTTCATTTCCATACTTTGTTTTTCAGGTATTTAGTTTTGCTGTTACCTCTGATTTAAATATAAGCATGCATAATAGTACTGATGTGTCTTTTGATTGTAAGACAACAGTAAACACGAGGTACAGCAATGCTTTGGGTATACAAGAGCTGCTAAAGTCACACAGCTTCTCCCATGCCTGTCTCCCATGCTGGAACACTCCTGTGTGTCATCTGTTTTCTGTGCACGGTGTATGAAGCACTTACCTTTCCCACATGTAGTTGTGCACTCAGTTTTTCCAACTTGTTTCCAGTTGTGTTCTCGGTTTTGTCTTGGTGGTTGCACAGCAGGCACCTGGTTTTCTGGCTGATGAGAGGGAAATCTTCCTGGCTGAATAACCGGAAAAGTTCCAGCTGGCTGTCCAGTTAGAGTGTCTGTCTCCCTATGCAAATCCTCATCCTCATGATTTGTGCTTTCTGTCATTCCTAACTGACCATTCAAGGGTTCCCCTGATGATGGACAATAACAGAAAAAGAAAATAATGAGCCTCACTTGCAAATATCAGTCTGTATTTTCATCCACTAATAATCACAACCGAAGCACCATTAAACTTCAAAGCATCTTTAACCTGCTATGCAGAGATCTCCTAGTAATGTCCTGCAAAGACTGTGTTCTTTTAAACTAAGATAAACAAGTCTTGGCCAGTAAATACATTCAAAACTAAAGAACCTCTACACACACTGTAGAGTTAATGCAGACAGTGCCAAAATTTCCCAAAAAGCCTTTTTTTTTCCCCATGGTCTGTATTCTGTACCTCCCCATGTCACAGCACAGCTGCTCCGCATTAGGAACAAGGCAACTCATGAACATTAAAAGTAGGACCAAACTCACTTGTAAATTTTCTACTGTCCTTCAAAACTTTATACCAGTACTCACAGCACATACCCACAGCTCTATCAGGAGCAGAAGCTGCCCAGATTCTAGCTTGGGATGGCAAAAGTTTTGTGTTTGATTCTCTCCAGTTGGGAGAGCAAAGAGAAACTGCAAAGGGTTGTTTTAAACTATGTCAAACTCTGAAGAGAAAAATAATGTTCCATTTCATTTTTGAGACATGGTTACAATACTCCAGCTCATGCAAAGCCATGGTTAACATTCTGACAATGAATTTTTTACTGAAAGCAGAAATATATGACCAAATGGACTGCTACAGTATAAATAATCCCTACCAGTATTAATTCACTGATATTACCAAATCTATGCAGACTTCTCTTTCAAAGGTAAAATTCCAGGCCTCTCCCACATCATTGGCAGCATTTACAATTAATTTAATGATATGAATTTCTTCATTAGCTTGCTGGGTAACGAAATATATTTAACAATAGGAAATAGTGGCATTTTACCTGGCCTCCTGTGAGCAAGCAACTGAGGACTAATGACATTGTCTCCTGGAATGATATACTCATAGTGTATACCTGGGTTAGGCTGCTGATGTATCATCTAAAAAGAAAACCAGCCATATATTCAGTTCTTCCACTTGTTATATTGCTAATACTTAAATATGTACTTGAACTGATCAACTACGTAATGTTATTTACAATTGGTCAGGACAGAAACAATGGTTAATGATGGTGTGTACCCCACAAAGAAAAATAAATAATAGTAAATAAAGGTATTTGTTTGTGGAAAAAGTAAGGCCATGCAGGATACCAAGTTTGCAAACTGAGCTAGGTTGTGATGGCAGAGAAACTGCTTCTCTACATCTCGTCTGAAAAAGGTAAACCTGACGTGCTCGAAGCCAAGGTGCAGTTGTGGCTGCACCAGCCACAGCCTTGCCTCTTGCCAGCGTGGGCAGCAGAGGCCCCCATACACCAGGCCTCAGTAGCAGTACAGACAGTTCCACAGTCACCAAAACATTCTCATGTAGAAAGACCTTGGTAGGTCTGAGGGACCTGAGGAAATATAAGCAAGGAAGAAACAGAGAAAAATAAATAGCACAGACCACAGTCTACAAATCCAGCCAACTGCCTTTTTTAACATTCACCAGTTGTACTCAATCGGAGCACATGCAGACAGCATATATGTTTCACATGTACCACCTCTCAAAACTCACAAGTTAAATTGTTTCTTTCATCACTGTGCACCTACCCTCTGCACCATTCAATGGGACTCAACAATCAACTAGCTAAAAGTTCTAACATTATGCAGCTCTTGTCATAAGCCTTGCTTAATAAAGATCAACTGAACACATTACAAAGGCTCACACACTTGTTATAGAAGCTGAAGAGTACAACCCTCCTGCATCCTTCCAAGTTAGTTTTCAACGGAATGAAGATGTAATATATGTGCAGACAAACTCCCACTGCTTTACAGCTAGCTCCAACTCCTCTATCAAAGTGTTCTTTATGAAACACAGACAGGAACCACAAGGTTTTCTCCTTTAAACATGAAAATGAAGCTGAGTGGTTTCACAACACTGCTGCACAAGCCCATTTTAGCTGACATAAGCACGCCTCTGAAAGTCAGTGTCACTTCTAGTGTGTTTGTTAAGCAAAATAAGACTTGTGCAATATATGACTCTATAAAAGCTTTTAAAAACTGTTAGCAGCACACTTCATACCCAACTGGCTTCTATTACATTGCTGCTGCTGCTCCTGAGAGCCTGAGCATACTCACACCAGAAATAGAGGAGTGCCATCAGCTGCTGATTTCACCACTTTAGCTTTGTATGTAATGCTTCTACTGACTGCTGCTTTAAAAGTCTTCAACCCTTTGTGGGGATTGGTCTGGTAAAAGCCTCAGTTTACACCAAACATAACAAACATCAGAGCTCTTTGGTTCTGACAAACCATGGGCTGAAAAAAGTCATGCTATGTCAATGGCTTTATGACCCAGCAGAGCACACTTAAGCTTCAAGGTTTCACTAAATTCATCACGCTAATTAACACCAACTAGGGATTCAGACCTTTGTTTTTCCTTGTGTCAAAATCACTTTTTCCTTGCCAAATATAATAGCTATTCCTCTGAACTTTGTCCCTCAGAGATCACTCACTTTTCTGAACCATCTAATAATGCACTGCCTGCAATATTTTTGTAGGGATTGGTCCTTCCTATGACACTGTTATCCAAAAAACACACCCTCTTTGTGTTTGGTCCCGAGAGAACTGAGCACTGAGAAGCTGACTTCAGCAGAAGAGTACCCCCATCACCACCTTCCAGAACCAGAACCCTGTTCTTCAGATGGTTTCAGAAACAGCTTTCCAATGGTTCTCATGATTTTTCCATCACATTTCTCAAAACAACTGACAGACACACGTTAGAAGAAGCTGAACTGATTAAGCCCCTATGAATATGCTGTCACACATTCATAGGACCAGAAAGCCATTTGCAGTTCCTATCTGCAAATCTCTTCATTTTTCTACACAGAGCACAAAGATCATGGGTATGGATGAAAAGAGAATGACATGATTCAGGAACAGCAACAAAAAGCCGGAAAAAAAAGACATCCTTATCTGTTCAGGTACAAATTTCAAACGTGTAAAAGAGGCTGTTTCGTACTGATGATTGATTTTCTTTCATCTAGCACTATCCGTTTTTTATCTTCCCATATTATCTTGAAAAAGACACTGAACTATGAGTTTATAATGAATTGTAAGATTTCTCGTATCTTCAAGGAACATTCAGATAAGAGTCCAGACAAATTGGATGTGCAATCCGTAACAGCAGCCACAGAGCAAAACTGAAAAAGCTATGTATATGACTCCAGCAAAAAAAAAAAAAAAGAAACTAAGCCTAAACCAAAATGTTAAAACATGATATATTTAAGCTTAAGGGTTTTTTTATTGTATTACTTTGGAAATATCTGTTTAATCCATTTCCTGATCCTCTTCTGTCCTGGTCTTTATGTTATTAGGCATCAGTCAGCTGACAGTAAAACCTTAAGACCAAACCTCAGCTCACAGCATCCTGTAACTACACAATGACACATATATTTTAAGAACACGGAGTGTGCACTGCAGAAGCTAGGAGCCCAACTGTCCAATCTTCCAGGCTTTTGCCAGTCTTACATTGCAATTAATCAGAAATTACCCAGAAAGAAGTAATGTTTGCATAATTACTCCATTGCTTTATTATGACACCATATAGCAGATGGGAATAACTTTGCTAACATTTAACTTTTCCCAGCTGAGTAATCAGGGTAGCTACTACACACTTTTCTGTGAAATAACCCAGCACATTCACTTTTCCACCCTATATTGCACTTAAGAGTAAAAAAGCCATAGCTAAATGAAACAACCGTTTCACCAGTTAACCTACTTTTTTTATTGAATGGATTTTATCATATGAAAGTGTATAATCTCAACATACACCATTTATCTTTGAATAAGTTGTAATGAATGCCAGTTATATTTTTTGATTCAATATCTTGTAGGAAAAACCTGTCCTATCTGAAGTAAACAGCTATTTCAATATGATTCCCCCCTCTTAACCACAATTTGTCTTCTCTCTTCCTTTCTCAAATGGCTATTACCCATTGTCTTCTAGAACAGCTTCATATTAAAAAGGGCAGTACTCCAAATCCCACATTCTATATTTTTTGTGATTATGGATTTTTTAAAGAACACTGAGATGGTGTAACTCTGTGAAAGGCTTTGTCTGTTTTAGGCATTTACTTCAGGTTCACTGTAGAATTAAACTGCCCCAAATTTTCTTGAGAAGGAAAGTATCTGGAGAAAATCCAATTCACATTTCTGTGCTTTATCTCTGTCTTATTGAACAAGTAAAATTGGTTTTACTGGATCAGTAAAGTCCATCTCCATCCTTATTCAGATTTTGTATGATCTGGAGCAAGATGGGAGCAACAGCAAGCCATAGTAAAACATCAAAAATTATGTTTCAAAATGAAAGGAATGAAACAACGTATCAGTTCTGAATAGGATTTTAGTGTTGCATGTTAACAACAATGAACAGAACAATTTTTCCCATCAGGAAGATTAATCTAAATACAGCAAACTTACATAGACATCAAGGACTTCATTTGTTGGGCCATCTGCTAAAAATGACTCTCCTGCAGTGCTGGAGATTTCATTTGGGCGTTTATAAATGAACATTGTCCCACCACCTTCATATCTCCCAGGTCGATCGATTGCCCAGTTTCCATTGATGATGGACCGTCCCGATCGACTTCGCAGTGCTGCAGAGGATGGGGACAGAAACACAATGACTTTGATCAGAGGAAATCACCTTCACATACTGGTGCCTAATCAGATCCTCAGAGGTGCATTGGTAGTGTTCTCTGATGCCTGGGGACGATGCTGTGTGGGTGCTGAAAAACAAGAGTTATATTAGTAGTTGTACAGAGGAAAAAACCCAAACCAAACAAATGAACCTTAGCAAATTTTGTCATAACACTTGGCATGTTTATGCTGCAAGAAGAGAAAGAAATGTGATGGATCAGATCCTGTGAGAACGTATTCACGGTTTTTCTTTCATTTTCCCTAATGCTACACGCTTATTTTTCCCAGCAGCTATTGTACATCCACTTGTTTCCCAGCCCTCGTTTTCTGACACATTAACAAAACAGTCTCTAACGTAAACATTGCTTGAAAAATATTTTACACAACATCAACCATCAAAACGGCACTGTCATTACTAATATAGGGCTGGAGATAAAAATATAGCTCCCATACTCTTGCATACATTAAATATGAAATCCATTCACACTGTTTACATGCTTTTTACACTCATTAAATTTTAATTCAAACAACTGTGGAGTAAACACTGCTGCAAAATTTGTTGGAGACTGGTTTTACATAGGTTTTTAATATGGAACACTGCCTTAACTTTATGACCTGAGTATTTTTCGTATATTGCTTATTAGGCCAATTATCAAGAGCTTAGAAAAAAGAGTGCAAGCTGGCTAAGATTAAACTGTTGTTAATAATGAAGCTGTGGAAAGATGGCTGTCTGAGAAACCGAGAGTCCATTAAACTTTCATTTCAAATCCATCATATGGCAAGTCAGAAAGAGGCCCCCCCATAAAAGGAAAATGTGCCTCTTTTATGTTTTGATCACTCTGCAGCTACCACCTCAACTCTGCCCCCTGAAGAATTTTTATAGTGTTAGTATTTGTAGTCAAAGCATGAAAGATTATGAAAAGCTTTACCATTAATTCCTCATGAGGAATTCCTCATACAGTCTGTAGCTGATTTCATCTATCTTTCATTCTGGGACCAGCTTCTGAACTAGAACTGTGCTGTTTGCAGTGGCCTTCCAGTAATGTTTTGCACTAGAGCTATGGAATATTTCAGGATACAGCACTTCTGCTTAGGCTACAATTCTATGACAAAGTCTCCATAGGCCATACATCAAAATTTGTATTTCAAGTATCTGGAGTATTGATTTCCTCAGCTCTCCTTTAAAAGATGCTCTGTAGCTACTGTCTTCCTCCCCTACAATTCAGAGAAAATTAGCCATAGATAATTTAAGTAAAGGTAATAAACTCTCAGTGCTTCAGAACTGTAAAACTCTCTCCAAAAGTACTTGAAGATAACTTCAGATACTTAAAAACCTGACACAAACCAACCACTATTCAGTATTACAAAACACAGCTTGCCTTCACGCCTGTCAGCCTTGCAGTATGGAATACGCAATACATTTTAAATCAATGAAGAGCATACAGACCACAATCTAAAGATACTCTAAGTCATAGCATACAGCTACTAGGCCACGTACAAGTACCTCTGATACATAAAGAGAAAAAAAAGCCAATTGCCTAGAGACTCAATAATCTATTGGTTTTAAAATAATAAAACATGTATTAGTTCAAATAGATTCTCTGAAATAACTCCTTTCCAAAGCATAGGTATTTGCTGATTATTAGAACACACCTTAGTTACAAAATATTTAGGAGAAATTTGGCACACTTCTTGAGAACTGAATTATGTATTATTTCCCTCTGACATTTTGAATTCAGACTCCTATTGAGGTCATGGCAAAGCTCCCACAGGACTTTCAGCTTAATTCAAGAAATATTAGTAGGGCTAAGAACCTTGTAATCAGAAAGAATCTGATCTTTAACAGTCTGATCCTACAAACCTCTTTAGAGCCAACTGGGGAGATTAGAAAATGGTCAGCAGTTCACTGACTGGGCCCTAAATTAGCATCAGATTGTATACGCTAAACCTGAAGAACGTATCTCTGCAGGTGGGATACCTTAATCTCTTGCACTCTATTTGGTTTCTTCAGTGGCAACCAACACAGGGTAAGGGTACAGATGTTGCATGCAAAAATAGGGCATCTTCTAACTGTGCATAGCTGAGACAAAGTGCTGCTGAACTTTCAGTCATTTTGCACAAGTACCCAAATTTGAGATACTCATTTTTATTTGGATCTGGGAACCATCTGAAATTTTGTTTCTGTCTTTCTATACAGTTACCTTATTAATACAGACCCCAACTTGATTTTTTTAACAAATAGGAATTAAAAAGCCACTTTTTAGAAATCAAACATTTTCTTTATAGATTTGAATAACTTGGGCACATGCTTATTTCCCCAAAAAATTGTTGCGTGTTATCCATGAACTGAGTTGTAGTCATAACATTGCCAGTTGACAGGTAGTTGTATTGCTAACACTGGCACTCAAGCAACTGCTCAAATATTTTCATAGTACAGAGTAGATAACAATGGACGTAAAAATACAAGGAAATGATTAATTCAAACATACCATTATTTTCAAGGAAGGATTTATGTAATTTTCTTTATTATCTAAAATATCAACAGAAGATTTCAGATGATCATTATGTTCTTCAGCAGTTGTGAACATAGCATGTTCAACAGGATTTTTTCTGATATTCTACTAATGCAATTATCATATCATATCAAAGAAATCCTGCTTCATATGGGAATAAATTTGAAACAGTGAATTGCATTAAAAAACTTTTGCCAAGTTTGTCCTAAGGTTCTGCTTTAACAAGTTTTATCCTTCCACAATGACACAGCAAAAAAATGCCACTACAACAGATGCCTGCTCTGCTACATTTCCATTCTGATTCGTGCAGAGATGTCTCTTCTCCAAGTAACAAGTGACAAGACAAGAGGTAACAGCCTCAAGCTGTACCAGGGAAAGTTTAGACTGGGTATCAGGAAAATCTCTTTACAGAGAGGGTGCTCAGGCATTGGAACAGGCTGCCCAGAGCAGTGTGGAGTCACCATCCCTGGAAGTGTTCAAAAACCATGTAGATGCCCTCAGTGACATGGTTTAGTGGTGGACTTGGCAGTGCTGAGGTAACGGCTGGACTTGATGATCTTAAAGGTCTTTTCCAACCTGTTGATTCTACAATCCTATGATGCATGAGCAACTGCAGCACTGCATTCACAGGAGATAAATTATTGTCAACTTCCAATGGCTTGTTGCCTAGAGCAGACATGCTGTCTCTTACCTTTTCATTTTTCATACCAGCATTCTAAGCTCCCTTGCAGCCTACAGTTAAAAGCAGTCTAAGCCCAAACAACTGACTGTCTCTTCTATCCCAGATGGTAAAGCTCATCAATGAAACCAGACAAACCCAAAATTCTGAATACCGTTATCTTGGCACAAAACAAAATGTATTGCTTTGGTGTCAGAAACTTAGTACCTTTGGCCTGACTGAAAAACACAGGTTAAAGTTGAAATTTAACTGCGTCAAAATAAGAATTTGAAAGTATTGTTTCACAAACATCTGCTGCTTTCCTGAAGGAGCAGTGAATGGCTGCTTACACAGATGCACACATAGTTTTAAGCCTCCTTCAGATTTTTGTTGAACTTGCTACATTTTGATGGGTCTTCCCCAAATTTTATTTTCCCAAGTTTTATAATGGTAAGATTATTTTGGTCCACTGGTGTAATTATCCTTTCTTGCCTCTCTATATATGAATTTATAACATCTCTAAAGCAGCAGCACAGGTGAAATTTCACAGTAAGAGAAAGACTGCTGTCAATAAAATTTCTTTATTTCATCATAGTTCAAGACTGTCCTCAGAGAAGGAAGTTTAAGCTTGCTCATGTGCCTGTTCTTGCAGATCATCTCAGGCTACAAATCCCACTATATGCTGATTCAAAAAATTCTTGATTTCTCCTACCTACAAAAAGAAAACACTATTTACTTGCTTAAAGGTAAAAGTTTCACGATTAATCACTGCTAACAGAAACACCCATTTTTGGGCCACTGCAAAGAGGCATTTTCCTTTTGAAGTATTCATTAAACTGTTGCTCTCTAATTTTCCCCTGATGATGCAGCTTCCTTTGCACTCAGTTATGCCCATTCCTTCTTTCGCTTCTGCCTCCAAAAGCCATGTTGATGTATCAGCACAAGCTAAATGCTGGGGCAGCAAAGCAGAACAATTAACTACTGCTGCAATAAATAATACGGGCTTTGAGAAACAAAACTAATCATACAGCCACCTGATCTCTCCAGGCCCAGACACTGAAGCAGGATCAAAGTCTCAATGGCCTTGATAAAATCCTCCAAGTAATTTCAGATTTAATCTGCATGTTGCAGAAGAGCCCAGAGCTTAGCTTCTGTCAGAAGAGGATGCAGTATTTGCCCAAGTTTTTTAATATGATCTTCCTTGACAGGTACTAGTAACAGCCAACTGAAATAAAAGTGCATTAACTAGTGAATCCTTCCTCTTTTGTTCTACCTTTTTAATAAGATGAGAGGAAAACTGAAACGCACACACTCTGACTACAGTATTCTCACACCTGAACTTCTCAATGCCCTGGCCAATACAAGTTACTACAGAATATGCATACAGTGATACATGACATGATGTGACATCTGCAAAATGTGTGATTATATGGCACTTACTGTGCTTCAGTGACACTACTGCTCCCACACACATTATACTCAATCCCACTGGGGAACAGTGCGCAACACTGAGCATCTAATGAGGGACCATTTGAAAACAGATAAAAATAGTAGAGTTAATCAATCGGAGGACGTATTTAGATCTTTTACTCACACAGCTGCTAGAATAAGACTGTAAATACATGTCCATTTATGGGCTGGAACTTCTGAAACAGGGACTTCATAAAGCAAATTAGATGACGCAAGTAAAAAGGTTAAAGTTCATTTCAGCATTTTGGCAATTCTTCCACTGTAAGGCATAGGCACTCCTTATGAATTGCATCTTGGCCTTCATTTTCAGGGTGGA